GTTGATAATAATGGTGATGATGATGGTAATGATGATGGTGATAATGATGATGATGATGATTATAATAATAATAATGATTGTAATAATAATAATAATAATAATGATAAGGATTATAGTAAAAACAACAATAATGATGATAATAATAAAAGAAAAATGATAATAACAATTGATAATAACAATAATAATGATAATGATGACTATGATAATGATACTACTACTAATAATAATGAAGATAATAGCGGTGATGACCATAACAGTAATACTGATAACGGTAATGATAACAACAATAATAATAATGATAAGAATAATATATTTTTCTTAGAATAATGATGATATCTACAAATATAACAATCAAAAAAAGTAAAAAAATAAAAAAAAATACTGAAAAAACAGGTATATTGCAACAGGTATATGCAAAATAAAAGTTTTAAAAAGACCTACGGCATTGAATATTCAATTTGCATATGAAAGGTCTATCGAGCAGTTGAAATTCTATGCTATGATGAAAATACTTTTATTTTTATTATTTTTTTTCTATTTGAAACTAATCTGCTTTATAACGTTTGAGGAATAATAATAATAATGATAAAATTACAGTTGAATGTGTAAGCTGGATATTTAAAGGAAGTTGCATTATTGTTTACTTAAATTTAGGGTAGCCCTTTCATGATTAATGATAATGATGATGATAATGATAACTCTGCCACTACTACTGCTACTACAACTACTACTGCTATTACTACTACTACTACTACTGCTACTACTACTACTACTACAACTACTTACTACTCCTACTACTACTACTACTACAGCTACTTACTACTCCTACTACTACTACTACTACTACTCCTACTGCTACTACTGCTCCTACTGCTACTACTACTACTACTACTACTACTATTGATGACAACAATAATACTAACGATGATGCTGATTAGTCCAGAAACAGATATAAATCGAGACAGTGTATATCTAGATCTGCTTTTCTCCATAAACTCATTCGTGTTTTTATCCATGTATCTAACAATTACCCACATGCAAATTAATCTATCTATCTATCTTTATCTATAATCTATCTGTTTATCTATTTACCTATTTCAAAATATATGTTGCTTATCTACCCGTCCTTCTGTCTATTCAAGCTTTTTTATTTATTTTTCTTCTTCTTCTTTTTTTTATTCATTTTCTTCTTCTTCCCTTCTTCTTCTTCTTTCTCTTTCTTCTTCTTTCTCTTTCTTCTTCTTCTCTTCTTCTATTTCTTATCCATCCTCCTCCTTCCTCTTCTTTTTTTCTTCTTCTTGTCTTTCTCTTCCTCCTCCTATTTCTCCTCCCCTTTCTTTTTCTTCTTCCTCTTCTTCTTTCTCCTCCCTCTTCATTTCTTCTTCTTCTTCTTCTTCTTCTTCTTCTCTTCTTGCTCTTCTTCCTTCTCCTTCTCCTCCCCCTTCTTTTTCTTCTTCCTCTTCTTCTTCTTCCTCCTCTTCCTGCTTTTCTTTTACGCCTACTTTATTCTCTTCCTCCTTCTCTTTCTGTGTGTTTGTCAGTGTGTGTGTGTAAGTGTATGTACGTATGTGTATGTATGTGTATATACGTATGTTTATGTATGTGTAAGTGCAAATGTGTACATATGTGTATATACGTTTGTGTATATATATGTATGTGCGTATCTGTATGTTCGTGTGTGTATGTGAACATGCCTTAATGTGCGTGTGTGTTTTTGTGTGCGTTCACGTGTCTGTGTATACGTGTGTCTACTTCATAGCGATACGAGTGAAAACTGCACAGGCCTATTACGCTCACAATCCGTATTCCAATCCTTTCTCGCCCCTCCCCCCCCCCCCCCTCGGTCCTTATTACGTCCCTAGTCCTTGTTACGCCTCCCCCCTCCCCTTCCCCCCCTCAGTCCTTATTACGTCCCTAGTCCTTGTTACGCCCCTCCCCCTCCCCCCCCCTTATTACGTCCCTAGTCCTTGTTACACCCCCCCTCCCCCCCTCAGTCCTTATTACGTCCCTAGTCCTTGTTACGCCCCTCCCCCTCCCCCCCCTCAGTCCTTATTACGTCCCTAGTCCCTGTTACGCCCCTCCCCCTCCCCCCCCTTATTACGTCCCTAATCCTTTCGGCAGTTACTACAAAGTCCTCCCGATGTTGCCATTTTACCGATAAGAAACTGGGCCTCCTTCATCCATCAAGATTACTACCCCCTCCCCCTCTTCCTCAGTCCCCCCTCCTCCCCCTTCCTCCCTTTCTCTCCCCCCCATCTCGGGCCTCTCTCCACGTCTCCTCCCCTTCTTCTCCCCTTACCTCAGTTCCCCTCTCCCCTTTTCTCCCCTTACCTCGGTTCCCCTCCCCCTCCCTTCCTCACCCCTACCTTGTCCCCATCCCCACGTCTCCCCTCATCCTCCTTCCCCTACCTCGCCCCTCCTCCTCCCCCTTCCTCCCCCAACCTCGGTTCCCTTCCCCCTCCCTTCCTCCCCTTCACCTCGGCCCCCTCTCCACATCTCC